CGGCCCCTACCAGCTCAGCCGCGTCAACTCGATGCACAGCGCTGGCAGCCTCGGGAGCCACTCGCCCGACGGTCTGCCCGATGGTAAGGAGCCCCTTGGCCGTGCGCGCGCCATCTCGACCCATCACCAGCGCCGCGTCAAGTCGGAGGCTGCGTCGCCCCTCCTCAACGGAGCTTCGGGTCTGCACCATCTCAACGGGCAATTGCCACCACTTGATCTCTCTGGCATCGAGTACCCACCATACGTTCCCAACAGCACATTCGACATGTTCGGCGGCTCGGCCTTCTCCGAGCACGACGGTCCCATTTTCAGTGCCGGCCTCAGCACGGCCGCCTCCGTGGACTGGAGCCATATTGAGCTGTCAGACAAGGGCGACAACTTTGCGCCCTCGAGCTACGGCCAGGCCTGCAGCCAGAGCTTCAGCGGCATGTACGACTGGGGCACTGGGTCGGAGCAGGCCCCAACACTCGGCGGCACGACGTCGACATCGGGCGAGGTGTCAGAGGTGGAGGACAACTTCATCTCGGGTGACCTCGAGTTTGAGCCGTTCGGCCAGGGTGACTATCTCCGTTCGGGGCAGTTGTATCAGACGCCGGGCACGGCCGATCTCAGCAGCATCGGCTACGATAACTTTGTGAAGGACTCGACGAAACAGTTTGGCCTCGCGACGTCGTCTTCCTACGACGACGCGGGACCAGTAGCCGGGGCTTCGTACAACTTTGAGAACGACCCCGTCTTTTGGGGCCAGCAGTTCAATGACGGCATCGCCACGTACGGCGGCGCCACCAACAACGAATCGACAGACCGCGTTGCCCTCGGGGCCGAGACTTGGACCAGGAACGCTCAATAAGACTCAGACGCAAGCAAAGACTTGGAGACTTCTCGGATTTCGACCAGACTTATGCATAGCATGACTTGGAGCGAGACGCGATACGTATATATACACATTTCAAACTACAGACGCTGGGTGCACGCATGCGGCGCAGCGCGGAAGGGAGGGAGGGGGGGGAATTTCGTTGCATGGGCGGCGCCATCTGGGGCGGGGGCCACTTAGAGGAGGGCACACTTTTTTTTCTCCCATTGGTCACGTATCTCTCATATGTGCTGTTGGGGCGGGTGGAGGAGTCGGCGCATCATCTTTTTTGGTTTTCCTCGAATCCCTTGTGTGTCGGTTCATTTGTTTGTGGTTAGAGCTTGCTTGACGAGGCTCGACGATGTCGGAAAAGGGGTTGACTCTGGTGAAGAAGCAGAAGACGACGACGACGAAGAAGAAGAAGAAGAAGAAGAAGAAGAAGAAGAAGATGAAGAAGCAGAAGAAGAACGCGACGCTTGGATTGTCGCTTTTGACGCCTCATGGTTATGGTTTTCATTGGTCGGAAGGGCTCAGGGAGGATTTCGTGCTTTTGTTACAAGAAAATCATTCACGGTGCCATTTCACGGCATCAAGAAGAAGGTGCGGGTTTCCGGCTCTGTTTTTACGTGTTTGTCTCGTTGCCTTGCCCTTTTCGGCGCTTCACATGACGAGGCTGTCAATCTTGTCTGCTGCGAGCCTCCAGATGCCTCCAATGCAGTGGGACGCACGCACGCACACACGCACACACGCTCGCACGTCCAGGAATACCACCTCGGGATATCGAGCGATCAAGCTGACGGCAAGGCAAGAGAGCGCACACAGCGCACGAAGGGCTTCACGATGATGGTAGCGCGATTGTGATGGGAGTTTGGGTAAAACGGGGACACATGACAGGGGCGTACGTTAGACAGATGGATGTAGGGTTGTTTCTAAAGGGGGGGATAGACACGGGCGACAAGCATTGGAGAATGGATCAACATGTCGATTCTGCTACTCGTTTCGCCAATTGGATGTTCAAGCACCTGGTGTTGACGGCTTGATTGTGGCGGCACTTCGAAGAGAAAGGGTTCGAGGAGAGGCGCCAAGTGCCGCTGTCGCCTGGTGGTGTGACTGGCGGGGGAGACGGGCAGATGGCGCCATGGCAGCGATGCTGAATTGGCTTGCCGTCAGCGTGGTGCCGACCAACCCAGTCGACGGTCAACCCAGCCTTCCCACCACGGCCCACAGAGGCCCACTGGGAGGATTGGTGGACGGACTGCAGCCGACCCCCACAGCAACAGCAACGTCAGCGGCCGGCCGAGGTGCTTTCAGTGTGCATGCCACTCAACCTCACCTCACCTCCAGGCCAAGCATCCTGTTTCTCATCACCATCACACGCGTCCCTTACCACTCGCCTCGTCCTCTCAGTTTGAGCCCTGAGTAGAGGCCCCCTGTTGTCCTCGTGCTCTCTCACTGTCGTGCCCTCCCACCGCCCATCACCATCATGGCGTCTCATCGTGAGCCCGAGCCGAGGTATGTAGATTGCGTGGGGACCAAGGCATCCTTCCAGCGCGCCACAGCGCCTCCGCTTCAGTGTCTCTCTATTCAGTATCGCCGTAGCGCAAGAGAATGCTGACTCTTTCTTGACACTCCAAGGCCCATTAACGCCGTGTTCATCGGGGCAGGAGCAGTTGGGTGCTTCTACGCCTCGCGCCTGCATCATGTGCGTTGTGTCTATACACCAGCCGGTGCCAAGCCGTGCTCCCCCCCCCCCCCCTTTCGGCCCTCTGGCATCATGGTGTCTTATAGAACTAACAGAGGGAACGCCGCGTGTGTGCAATAGCCTCAACAAAACGTCCGCGTGTCACTCGTCGCCCGGTCCAACTACAAGGCCATTGCTGCGTCGGGCGTCAAGCTCGAGACGCACTCGTTTGGCGACTACGTCTTCGCGCCCGAAGCGGCGTATCCCTCGGTGACGGCAGCGGCCGAGGCCGTGGCGGACTGGGATTACATTTTTGTGACGACGAAGGCGCTGCCGGACCGGTCGGACGACGCGGCCATGAATGCGCCGCTCGTGGGACCGGCATCGTCATCGTGCTGATCCAGAACGGG